TATAAACTGGAGTATAATTAAAAGAACATCAAGGAGTAAATATACTTCTGCTTACTAAGTAAGAGTGGTGGGCAGCTCATCTTTGAATTAAATCAAGAATTTATAAAGCTATATCATCGCAGAACTATATGGGAATTGTTAAACTGATTTTTAACTTCATGGGTTCTAGAGCAAAATCTCATTTTTCTAGAATACTTCAGGAATTTGATTTATTAAATATTCTGGGTATCTTTTAAGTAGCTTGTATTTACATACATAGGTTAGCCAGTTCTCCAATAATTAGAATACAGTAAAGTCATTTAGTGCCAATATGTTGTTGAATATAATTTCATCCTTTTCATTTGGTTTAAGAAGTACCACAAGGTCTTATTTTTTCAATTTTTAAATGTTTTTTAGTTTATTTTTTAGTCAGAGGGAGAGAGAGAGAGAGAGAGAGAAAGGGAGAGAACACAAGTGGGAGAAGGGCAGACAGAGAGGGAAACACAGAATCTGAAGCAGGTTCTAGGCTCTGAGCTGTCAGCACAGAGCCTGATGTGGGGTTTGAACACGTGAACTGCGAGATCATGACCTGAGCCAAACTCATAGCTTGACCAACTGAGCCACCCAGGCACCCCAAGGAAGTACCACAAGATCTTCAATGGGAATTGTCTTTTGCTAGATCAATTATCATTATATACTATCCTGCGCATAGAAGAAAAGCATGGTTTTATGAGCTTTCTCGCTGTTTATAATGTAGAAAATGCTTTTACTGTCTTGTAGTAGTTGTTGCAATTAATACATGAATGCTAAGTGATAATGACATCCATGACTCCTCCCCTTAAAGAGCCTTAAAAATTGAATTGGGAAATGGCTTGATCAAAGAGTGTTTTTAGAGATCTGATGGTGATAGAGTGGATAGACTGGTGCCAGCGGGAGCAGATGGGCATCAGGGGAGGCTGTACAAAATAAGTAAGCTGGTGACAATGAGATCAGAAATGAAAGGACAGGGTGAGAGCTATTTTGAATGAAGAAATTATGTTTCTCACCAACTGACAAGATATTAAATTGGGTGATCATCTAAGATGGTTCTGAGACTAGAAAAATCATTGTAGAAATAGAGAAATAACTTGCTTATGGACAATGAGATTTTAAATGAGGCAATTGAGTCTAATGTGATTTTGGTCATCGGTGTTCTTGGGGAAAAAAAGCAGTGTCGAGTGAAATAAAGGGACTGAAAACTAGATTAAAACTAGGTAGATCTTTTGCCTCGAATTATCATTCATGTATTTGAGTAAACGAAAGGAAATTGGACTGATAGATGTTTGTTTTAATTTCCTAACCTTATTTTGCAGAAGGGACAGAATCTTCACAAATCTTCATATGTCGATCTTTATTTTTCACAGTAAATAGTGGCAACAGAACTCTAACAAATGAATTTACATTTTTATTTTTTACTGTAAATATCAGAGAGTGTTGTTTATAGATAAGAGTACATATATTATGTATAAAATGGTGTAAAAATAAAATTTCCTGAAGTAGGCATAGAGTTATCTTCCTAATACCATTTTAAATGGGTTTTTAAGATTTTGAACATTACATACAATAATTTATCCCTTCTTTATCTACTTCCACAATATGGCATATTAATTTATTTTACTCCATCTTTTGGATATCACTGATTTACTGGAAATGTGTGCACCCTTAGGACATCTCTCAAATGTCATCATTTTGTAAATGTTTCATTATTTTTGGAACATGTTTCTAGATCCATGATTATGTTCATTCCTCTTCCCTAAAGATGGTAGAAAGCAGTATGATTCATTGAAAAAGTCAGAGACACATACCATAGTAATTATTTCAAGCATTTCTTTTAATGGCTTTAGGGTGTGATTTTAGACACAATAATCCATGTAGTTTATTTAATGTTTCAGTTGACGCAAGTGCACAATTTTCTTCATGATACACTTGTGTGGTATAGCATATGGATCAAAATTTATTTTCTGTATGTTTTCTTAAGAATAATAGGAATTTTTGGGGTGCCTGGGTGGCTCAGTGTGTTGAGCGTCTGACTTCGGCGCAGGTCATGACCTCGGCGCAGGTCATGATCTCGCCGTTGGTGGGTTCAAGCCCTGCACTGGGCTCTGTGCTGACAGCCCAGAGCCTGGAGCCTGCTTCAGATTCTGTGTCTCCCTCTCTCTCTGACCCTCCCCTGCTCATGCTGTCTGTCTCTCTCAGAAATAAATAAAACATTAAAAAAAAAAAAGAATAATAGGAATTTTTAAGTAGAGCTTATGAACTTTACTTATAATTATTTAGAACATATGTCAATAGGAAAGGGTAAAGTTTAGTGGAAAGTAAATAATTCATTCAACATTAGAGCTTTAAAAAAAGGGTAGATAATAATGGGGGTGGGGGGAAGGGGGGTGATGGACATGGAGGGGGCACTTGTGGGGATGAGCACTGGGTGTTATATGGAAACCAACTTGACAATAAACTATTTTAAAAAAAATAAAAAAAATAAAATCTCTGACTAAATAGACAAATATCTCTGACTATAAAAAAATAAAAATAAAAAAATAAACAAAGGGTAGATAATATTTTTAAAATCTGGTATTTATTTGTTCTCATTTTATCTAGTCAATAAATGTTAGACTGTTGAAGAGTAGTCATATAATCACTAATAAATTTCTCATTCTCGAAAGTGGGACAGCTCTACTTTAAATAAAATTGTGTATGAGTGAGTGAGGTGGTTTAATTATTGCATGTATGCTGTGTAGATCTGGAATTATTAAGTTCAGGCCTTTAGCCTAATACTATAATGTATTCATTTTTGTGATTTTTGGAGATGGCTTTTTGGGCCATATTTTCTGCAATATAAAACTGCATATACAGTTTTGAGATGTTGATTTTGGCCTTTCATTCAAAACAACTCTAAAATTATAAGGTCATTAATATTTATAATTTAAGTAAGAAAAATGTACATAAAAGTACCTTATGGTTTATAAATATGCATATTATCACAAAGTGGGGTTATTATAATTTTATTATAATATGCTAGCTGTATATTTGTCATATATTTTATAATTTAGATATATTGGCCAAAACACTATATTATGGGGTAGTATACCTTGATAGTTAAATTAGGCACCAGTTAATGCGATGTAGGATAAGCCTTTCTCCCTTATTTCTACCCTGCCACGTATTATGTGACTTGGTCTATAACTTTAATAATAATAATGCTGGTGGCATTGGTGCTCTAGGAGATCTTTTATCATTCCTTTACATAGAAAATCAAGAAAAATCAACTCAAAATAATAACATTTTGTCTCATATTATTCTGCATTGTATCAAGACATGAGTGTTTCAAAATGCCATGTACCAAATGTTCTTTCTCTCCACTCTTATTTTTAGATTTAGTTCTTATTTAAAATGTTCCTGATTTTCTCTGACCAGGTGACATAGCGTAAAATTACATGTTTGATTTATACGTTTTACACTCATTGAGCCCTACTCTGTTTTTGTCACTATGCTCAGTCCTGGGTTTTCATTCAGAAGACACAGTGCCAAACTTCAAGGAATTTCCAGGCTATTTATTGGGCACACAGAGATGAGAATGAAATTTAATACAATGTCTACATTGCTGTAATGGAAGTCTGTAGAATAGTAGATTGAGAAGTGTGGAGTCTGTATAGGAAGGCAAGGTCCAGATCAAGAAGGGCCTTCAACACTGTATAAAGGAGTTCAGATTTTATTTTGTTGTAAATATGAGGAAACTGAAAAGTTTTGAGATAAAAAATGACATAAAAAATTTTAGGAGGGCCTGAGTGGCTTAATTGGTTAAGGGTCTGACTCTTGGTTTTAGCTCAGCTCACAGGTTATGAGTTCGAGCCCTGCTATTAGCACAGAGCCTGCTTGGTATACTCTCTCTCCCTCTTTGTGTGCCCCTCCCCTGCTCACACTTGCTCTCTGTCTCTCAAAATAAGTAAATAAACTTAAAAATATTTTTAAAGAATTCTTATGTTGAGGAAGATGAATTGGAGGAATAGTGACTCACAGCAGGAAAACCATAAAACTGCTTTAGTCTAGATGAGAGATATTTATGGCCTGATTTAAGATCAAGATTTGTTAATTTTTGCTAGTTGCCTCATTTTCTTTGTATCTCTTACTTAAAAATATAGAAAGAAGTAATCTTGTTAGTCCAGTTCATCATTTGTTCATCATTTGTAACATATATATGAAATTCATAGGCAATTGAAGCTGACTCAATCTTTAGCCAAGCTAATCACCTATGAAATGCACTGAGTAATCCTGAAAAATATATCTGCTCTGGATTCCATGTTTGGATTTGGGTGAAATCCAAATGCTAGTGGATTAGGGAGTATATTGCAGGTTGTGGGGGGAAGGTAAGGGGCTTGGCTGTGTAGGGAATAACAAACTAGTGGGGAACACAGGATGAAAGAAATCAAGGAAAGGCTTTTGTTTTGTTTATTTTGTTTTTTAATATGGCAGAGGTTCAAATATAGGAGTCAGTGGCTAGGAAATGGTTGAAATAAAGAGAGTGTTTATTTTTTTAATTGTTGAAGTAATGTTAATGTGGCAGAAGATAGGATTCCAGAGCACAGGAATATCAATGTCTTATAGGAAGAAGGATACCCCTCCTTCTGCAGTGGAGTTGAAGAAGAAAGGTGGAGTGAGGTGCAGATAAGTTTAGAAGTGGGCAGAACCTGCTTGTTACCACACTTTATGAAATAAGCAACAAAGCGAGATGCTTGAGAAGAGAGGTAAATATTTCCAATAATTACTGAGTAAAATTCAATTAGAAGCCTAACAACTAGGGATATGATGAAGTGGTTTTTCCTCCTGCAGCCGATCTAGATGTAGGTTGGAAAAAAGTGGACTAGTCCAGAGTTGAAATGGAGTTAACTTGTGACTTGGTAGGAGTTAATATTTGTTTTATTTTTTCTATTTGTGTGGTTAAACTGGTTGTTTCATTCTGGTTTTCCATACATTTCCTTTTGCAGGTCTTGATGATTGTTTGCAGCAGTATATTAAGAACTTTGAGAGGGAGAAGATCAGTGGAGACCAGCTGCTGCGCATTACACATCAGGAACTAGAAGATCTGGGGGTCAGCCGCATTGGCCATCAGGAATTGATCTTGGAAGCAGTTGACCTTCTGTGTGCACTGGTAAGGACATTAACTGGTGGAAAGTGAAACTTGTTTTATTTCCTTTTAAAATTTTTCCTTTTTATTTTTTTCTTTCCTTCTTTTTCTTCTATATTTAAAAATAGTTTAAGTAATTTTAAAAAATTTATAACTCTCCTAATTCTCAACTGACTAGAAGTGGTATCTTCCTCCTTCATTAAATTTGATATATTAAATAGTACCAAATTACAAATTAAAAGGGCTTATACCTCAACCAGTAACATTACATTTAGTTACCTCAAAAACATATGTTAGAGCTCTCAAACGAAGTATTCATGGCATCATTTGAAATATACAGTTCAATACAATCTGTTGTAAAGTCCATTCCCTTCTGAAAGTTTTGATTTAGTATCACAAATATTAAGAAATCCTATTAGAAAAATCATTAAAATAATCTATTTGAATGTTCTAAATGTATACATTTAATAAAAATTAAATATTGTACATTATATGGTTTCTTTTGTCAACTTACAAGAGAAATCAATGTCAAAATAATCCTTCAAGAGTCTGATAACATATTATATATTCTGAAAGGAACATATATTTTTTTTCCATGTTGGGTAAGATGCCACTGGATTGGTTTAAATTGTTGCAAATATTTGCAAGGGGGCTAGAGCTACACTGAGACAAAAAAACATGAGTGTTGTAATATAATAATCTGTGATTGAAATTTGGCTCAGTCAGTTACTGACACTTGTAAGCAAGTAATTTCATCATGACCTTAGTTTTTAAATTTAAAATGGTGGTAGTAACAACTGCCTCTTGGAGGTGTTGTGAAAAGCAAATGAGATAGTGTTTATATAGTGCCTAATTAAGTGCCTGGCACACAGTAGGCATTCAATAAGTAGTTAACTATTAAGATGATAATTAACAAGAAATGAGTAGATAATTTCTTACGACTCAAGCATCAGTTAATACTCTCAGGACTTGTGTGTCAGATGTAAGTTCCTGCCCTCTTGAAGAGCTTATAGGAGCAGAAAGTAACACACAAATAATCACAATACTATAGTATAATTACCAAAATAAAAGTATAAGCTAAGTATTATCGGGGCACAGAAGATAAAATAGCTAGCTTTGACTATCATAGATGGGTTCATATTGCAAAAGAGGTGATCTTCAAGCATCCTAGAGGAAGATGAGCATGTGTTTGGAAGAACAAGAGGGAAAGGCATTCCATGTATATAAAACAACACATACACAGGCACACACAATAAAGAGAATGCCTGGTGGGTTTGAACTGTGATTAACTATTTGAGAGAACAGAAATACATGGGAAACATTGGCCGAAGATTAGGCTATAAAATACAGAATAGTCGCAGACTATAAAGTACCTAAACATTATGTATCAGAATCAGTTCACAGAAATCATACTGGATATAAGAGATAGTACTCAGAGTAAGGTAAGAGTTCTTCATGGTTTTGCTTACTGATCTCCAAATATGAGTCAGTGTGGCCATGAAGGTGCAGTAGAAGTGGCTTGGACATGGACATACCATCTAGCAGTCCTCTATTTGCCACATCTTTTATAACAGTAAATAATTGGATATGTCAGAGTTCAGCGTATTATGTCTCATAAGCAAGACTCCACAGATGAACCACTCATGTGCTGGACTTTGCACTGTCAGTTTGAAGAAGGAAATAAGATTGATGATTACAGTGCTACCCACAAATAGTCTGAACCTACAGGCTTTGGAATTTGGCCCATTAACAATCTCTGCTGACCTAAACTTACTTAGAAAGGTGGCATGAGAGATACAAATCTCGACCATTTCAGTGTTCTCGCCATGGAGCTGTGGTAACTTCATATGCTGAGTTTGAATTCCTCCACAGTTCTGGGTTTAAGCACTACAGTGTTGTATCATTTTCTTGGGGTGGGGGGGACAACATTAAAGTCATTCTTTCTTTCTTTATTCAGCAATAAATTGGTCACATTTCCCAAGGAGGTCAAATATCAAACTTCCTTCTACCACTTCCTAATGACTATATACATCAGCAAGTTAGAAGTGCAGATACCTTCCAGTTGATGCAAACGGGTATTTTACAGTGAATATAAAGTAAATTTCTAAGCAATGAATTCTGATTTACTCCTACATACCATTATAAAATTAAAAGATGAGATCCCTCATCAGCAAGCTGAGTTGACTAGACCAGGAGGTTTGCTATTGGGAATGGGGTATTTTTTTAAAAATCCCAGGGGAGTGCAGAAGGAAATGATGAACCCAGGGATCCAGGAAATGTAGGTGGGATTTGCATTGGGACTTGTAGGATGAGTAGATGTTTGCCAGACAAAAAGTTGGGGAAAAGTTATCTAGGCAGAAGAAATATCATGTAAAGACAGAAATGTGAAAGAGTATGAAATGTTCAGAGAAAAATGAGAATTTTCATTTGGCTGGTTGAGAGTGGGAAGTGATAGAAAGAAAAGCAACTTATTTTTTGTATCACATTATGATTTTTCACTTAGACAGTTTTTTTGTTGTTGTTCTTCAGTATGCTTTCTGCCCAGCGTTTACACGTAGAGGATATTAAATTAATGTTATCTTACTGAATGAAGTTCTCTGCCGTTTTCCAGAAAACTGTAATTTTTTCTCTTGCCTCTGACTCTGAAGTTTCTGTTCCTAATATAAGGAAGACACAAAACAAATCACTAAATTTCTTTGTTTCTTTCAAGCTATAGACTATTTCCATCTGCCTTATTTTAAAGTTAGTCCTGATGGAGAATGAGTGTTATGGCAGTTGATGAAAATCAAAGGTTTCTTTAGTAACCTGTTCATTCATGCAACAGGTATTTATTTAAACACCAGCTCTATTGTTTGTACCATGTTATTCTAGAAAGAAGTAAGCTGTTCATGATTTGAAGGTACGTTAACTCTTTTTTGCTGTTATGCTATAATTTAGTGTGCTTCAATAGAGAACATGGTATATTAACTGAAATAGTAAGCATAAATAAAATATATATAGTTTAATGTATAGCCCTTAATTTATGTTCTGACAATATACCTTGTTATTGGGAAGTATAAGTGGATCATTTATGACAGGATAAGAACAGTTTTCATTTCATTCTTCATGTACTTCTCATATAATAGGTATTTTGCATGAAAATTTAGATGTCTGCAATTGCTAGGATTTGTTTCTTTGCAACATAATTGCTTGGTTCATTCATCTCAAAATAATTCATTTCTAAAAAATATTCATTAAAGCAATCCTTTTACAACTCACTCATATTTATAAAGCAAAGTATTATAAAATCTAAACACCTGCTATGTGATGCAATCAAATTAAGAGCTCTGAATAAAATAACATTGACATTATAAAATATGTGGTGCCAATATTGAATATTTTGTTAAATGTTTAGAGAATTTGCCACTAGTGAGGATATAGCCAACTTGATCTTCTAAACTGTTAAGTGTATCCTTCATTTCTTTCTTTCTGTTGCTTTCACATACATATAATTAAAACATAAGAACAGTATGAATAGACTGGCTATGTTAAATCATTATTGCCACAGTTGGTTCCTGGCAGGCTACAAATAAACAAATAGGCAATATATAGGACAAAGAAAATAGCTAACTACATTTCAGGGCTAAGCTTTTGTTTTCTTGATGTAGTCCTTTCTGTATCAGTAATAATACATAATTTCCCCATGCATGTCCAGTAAAAAGCAAGTCGGTAATTAATAAATCTGCACTTCTTAGAAGTTGAGAGAATAGGCAAGAGAGGAAGGTGGTGGCAGATTAGGAGGATCCTAGCCTTGTCTCATCGCAGGAACACAACTAGATAACTATTAAATCATCCTAAATTCCCCAGAAATTGACCTGAAGATGGTCAAAACAAGCTCCACAACTAAAGGTAGAGAAGAGACTACACTGAAGAATGTAGGAAGTGTGGAGATATGGTTTAGGTGAGAAACAAATGGCAGTGCTATAGAGGAGAGCGAGCCCTGGTCACAGACAAGGACTAGAGAGAGAGAAGCACATGGGAAAACATAAGGGAAACATTTTCCCAAAGGCATTGGCTTAGAAAATGAGAGGGACTAAATTTCATGACTTCTTGCAAACAGCAGGGCTTAGCCTGGTGTTTTAAATGTCAGCAGGTTTGGCTGTGATATGGTCGTAGGGCACTCTACTGCTTCTGAAGAGAAGGCAGGCAAACAACCCAGGGGTAGACAGCATGGAAACAATGATCTAAGGAACACCTGCGGTAGATAGGGGAGAAAGTATTTACTCAGAGTGCGTCCCTGAGAGGCAGCTTTCACAGAGTTGTCTCACCAGAAACAAAGGAGCTAGCTGGTACCATTTCCCTTGCCCATCCCTCAGTATAAACACAGAACCATTTGCGGGAAGCAGTGCAGAATGAACATTGGCTGCCTAACTTGCTTATACCAAGCCCTACCCCCCTGCATTCTGGTGGGACTGCCCTTCTCAGTCAAGGTTGCCTCAGTTTCTACACAGTGGGCCCCTGCCCTAGAAGATGAGCACAAACCCCTGCCCACACCATGTCTCCCAACCAGAGAGTCCTGCTGGGCCTCAGTTCTGGTGGAGCTGGTGTCGGTTCTCATTTCACAAGCAGACCAGAGTAGACATAGTTAAAACTTGTCACATTCAGGCCAGAGGCCAAATACTGCCCACACTGGGCAAGCAGACCCTATGCAGATGACTGGCCTGAGGATAGAGCAGCCAAAACACAACAGCAGAGTGCATACACCACACACCAGACACTCTCTGAAGCACCAAGATGTGGTCACTACATGACCTCTTCTTCATAAGGCCATTACTTTCAAGAGCAGGAGATATAATGGCTTTTTTAAAACAGAGAAGACAGAGACTGAGACAAAATGCTAAGATGGAGGAAATTATCCCAAAAGAAAGAACAAGGTAAGGGCACTGCCAGATAGCTATGTGAAACCAATAAAAGTAACATGCCTGTTGGAGAATTTAAAGGAATAATCCTAAACCTATTCACTGGGCTTGAGAATAGAAGACATC